ATCCTTCTCTATGAGAAGATGAAAATCCATTCAAAATATCAAAGGAGAGTTTGGATCTAAACCCAACTCTAGAGGAGAGGAAACTTAGGCTAAAAGTGTCTACATTATTGTTTAAATGCATAAAAATTCGAACTGGGTTGACCCGGTTCGGATCCGGGTCGGATCTTCAATTTGGTGAGAAATCTTGTCTGCATCTATCACATGCGCTCAACGCCTGGGCTCAATATGGCGCACTATTTTGGAAGGTGAGAAATCTAGTCTGCATCTATCACCTACGCTCAACACTTGGGCTCAATGTGGCGCATTGGTTTTAAAGGTTTGATTTTCTTCAATCCACTTGAAACTTCTTTTTGCTCCACATGAATTTCCCCATCTTCTAGCATCCAAATTGGTTCACCAAAGTGTCCTCCAAGTGCTAACTCCAATCAACTCTCGAATTCTCATCCTTTTGCATCCAATTAACTTCCAAATCATTTCTTTCCAAGATTCACCATCTTCAAACCTATAAAAACACAAAAGAGATGCAAATGCCCCTAAAATGCCTAAATGATATGCAAATACGGGATGAAAATGTGATTAAACCGTATCTAAATGAGGTAAAAGATGAGAGTATCACTTACCCTGGACGATTTAGTCAGATGGTAAAAACCAGGATCATCTCCTATTATTTTTTTTTAAAATGCTTAGAAAAAAGTAAAATCCAACAATATCATGGCTAACATGAATCTTAGCTACTACTTCAACTGTAGGTATACCAAGATATATTTGTGGCTAGACTATTGTTTTCAGGAACGGGTTAGAGGTGTATCACCTGCCTGACCGCGTCTAATAACCCTAATTTAACCATGGGTGGCCGTTGCTTACGAAGAAAAATATGTGTAGCCTATAGTCATTATTCATTCGTGGCTATTTTTTTGGATAAAATGTGAAAATATTACCAAAAAGAATATGAGTTGTTTAATAAAAGCTTCTAACTAGAGAGCTTAAAAAACAAATTTTTTTTTTTTGAAAAAATCGAAAGAAACTAATTAGAGCAACATGACCGATGAGCAATTTAGGAGGAGAAGAGAATTAATTGATAGCCTATTGATTATGAAGACAGACTAATCAGCAAATCCAAACGAATACTGACCAAATAGATGGAGGAAAAGATGACATATATTGACCGAGAACTCACAATGAAGCAGCTAGGTGTCTCTTGTTTCTCTTATCACAAAGACAACATGCAGTTAGAATTATGCATGTGTGGCTCTTTTTATTACATTTTTTATTTTCAAAACAAATGCAGTTAGAATTCATGCATGTGTGGCTCTTTTTATTACATTTTTTTTTGTAAATATCTTTTTTTATTACATTCGTGGCTTTTCTTCCCTAAAGCTACATAATTTAAATTAAACAAAAATATTATGCATGTGAATTAAAAACAATAATTATTCGGGACCCGCAGCTGTAACGGGTTTCGAGACATTGGCTCGTTACCAAATGGGTTAGGCATATAATTTCTGGCATCTAGACAAATTTAACCACATTATTTTTGGCTTAAATTTGTGAATATTTTTATACAATATTTATTTAATATTTGATTTTTTTTGTGTGGAAGAGTGTCCATGTTGGTGGCATGTGTATGCGGTGGATCCATTTTCTCTTTACACCCAAACTATTCACATCAGAACGTTTTCAGAGAGTTTTGGGCAAAACACACAATAATTGATACTTGTCTGAGTACACCTTTCACTACACATGCCTTCTCTTCTCTCTTT